TCTCCTCTCCAGAGCTCTGCAGGAAGTACACGCCGGCCAACTTCAGCCAGTATTACTATCCCTACCGCGTACAGAGCAGCCTCCTCTGCGTCACCAACTGCACCCTCAACATCCCCAGCTCCATCAACTGCAACAGCGGGCTCTGCCGGCTGACGCTGGAGGGACCCCGCTGCTTGTGAGTGGACCCAAACCTCACCCGTCCCCGTCCCTTACCCATAATTCCCACCTTAGCCCCAGTCTTGAACCCCCACCCGGGCCCAAACCTCCCCATAAAGCTGACTGTAAACCTGATTCCGGTCCTAAACCTAACGACTGTCCTGATCTTAACCCCAGCCCTAACCCAAACCTACTCCCAGTCGCAGCATTAACCTCTTAACTCTAACCTGACCCTTAACCCCACCCAAGCCCTAACCCCGGTGGTAACCTGAACCCCAATCCTTGACCCCAAACCCCAACCCTTGACCCCCAAACTCCCACCACAACCCAAAACCTTGACCCCAACCCCAAAACCTTGTCCCCAGCACCCCAACCCTTGAACCCCCCAAACCCCAGACTTGAGCCCAACAGCCCGACCCTTGCCCTCCACACCCAACCCTTGACCCCCAAGCCCCAAACTTGAGCCCAACAGCCCGACCCTTGCCCTCCAAACCCAACCCTTGGCCCCCAAAAGCCCTTGAACCCCCCAAACCCCAGACTTGAGCCCAACAGCCCGACCCTTGCCCTCCACACCCAACCCTTGACCCCCAAGCCCCAAACTTGAGCCCAACAGCCCGACCCTTGCCCTCCAAACCCAACCCTTGGCCCCCAAAAGCCCTTGACCACAACCCCAAACCTCAATCCCAACCCACTGACATGGGGCTGGGTCTCCCGGGTTCTCCCCAGCTCTGGGAAGGGCCCTGGGAACCTGGTGGGTTTTTTGGAGGATCCCAATCCCCAACCTCCACCCTGGGCCAGATCCAGGGCGGGGGGGGGGGGCAGGGGGAGGGACCCCTCCCACACAGTCCTCACCCCAC